CGGGGAAATGCAACAATAAACACCCTGGGTGTGACCCCCCGCCCCACCCCCAGGGGGGCACACGGTCGGCGGAGACCCACTCCTGCTGGTTCCATAAACAAAAAAAACCCACACGGGCTGCTTCTCCCGCGCTTGTTTCAATATGCCACTTGCTGGCTCCGAGGATGAGCGCCACGGCGCGCCCGGGCAGGCGGGGGGGGGGCGCGGGCACCAAGCAAGGGGAGGAAGGTCAAACGGAAGACCGGCCAAGTGGGAGCCACATGCATGCACCCTTTTCTGTCGGTCTGTTTGTTTGCCTGGCTGTCGGTATTTCCATGCATGCATGCATGCATGCATGTATGTGTGTGTGTCTCTCTCTCTGTTCACACGCCGGATTTTGGCGCGAATGCATGGAGCCCCACATGGATCCATGCGCACATGCCGGAGCAAACGCCCAATGCAGACGGTCAGCCCCGGCCAGTTGCTGGGCCTTCCCCAGGCCAGGCGGCATGCCGCCTGCGCATGCAGTTTCAGGGGCTCGGACTTTGCCCCAAAGAGCCCCAGCACTGAGCAGCCACAGGGCACAGCTAAAGACCCGGCCCAATTCAGGGGCAAGGCGCCGGGGGGCACCCGGCCCGGCCCAAGTGCCAGACAATTCAGTCGGCCGATGCGCCCATTTCCGGCTTTCAACCGGAAGCAACCACACCCCACAGGGGGAGGCGGGGGAGGGCAGTGAAGAGGGACAAAAGGGACTCTTCCCTGGCCCACGGCACGATCTCAGCATATGGGATGGCACCGCGCCGGCATGCCGGAGGCCCCGCACACCAAGACCCATGCGTATATCGTGCACATGCGCACAAATACGCAAACACACACACACACACACGGGCAGAGACACAGACACAGACGCACACAAGTAGACACACACACACACATACAGGTGGAGACCCACGGGGCGGCAGCCCAAGAGAGTACGGCATGCCCTTCGGCGCGCACACGCACACGCACACACACACACACACGGCCTTGACCCTGTGGGGAAGGTTGCCCTCCAAACAAGTTAAGCCCCGGCCCAGGCCGGCCACTGTAACCGAAGGGGTCACGTGGTGCCTGACAGCTTCATTGTGGCCTAGGAATGTGTGGCATGCGTCTCTGTTCGTGGCCACCGGGCGGCGGCTGGCGCCTACGGGGTCACTGCCACGCAGGCGCCGCCGCGGCGCCCCTGACGAGGGGCCGCCCAAGCAACGGGAGCGCGTGTGCTCCGATATTTCCCGATGGCACCGGCAATGGAGGGGGGGCGATGGGCAGCGGCGGGAGGGGGGGCGCGGGGGCCTTTCCCAAGGGCCAGGCGGCGTGGTCTGGTGTGCCACTGAGACACCGGCCGAATGGAGGAACAAAGGGGGTGGTGCCAGGGCGTCCGGATCCAGCAGGGTACCAGCACGCGTGCGGGAGAAGCTAACGAAAGGGCTGGCGAAGGGCCCCCTGGATCCATACCGGGGGGGGGGGGGGGGCGAGAGTGATCCGGGCGCCATCGGGGCGCCAAATGAGGTAGGGGGGTCCCCATCGGGGCCCGCTGGTGCGTCCTGCCGGTGGACAGGCGGGCCTGGCCGTGCGGCGGGGCCAGTGCCGCTGGCGGCAGAGATGTTACTATTTCGGGGGACACCGGATCTTGTGTGCGAGTTGCCAGCTCAGCCAATCGGCTCCATTCTTCGAACTCCCTCCTCTCTCTGTCTCTCTCTCTTTCTCCCTCCCTCTCTCTCTCTCTGCCTCCTGCTGCCCTTCTCTTTCTCCTCCTCCCGTGCCCCTAAGCCCGTTGTCGCCCGGCTTCGATATTTCCTCGCTCGGATAGCTACCTCCCCTCGCCTGCGCCCCTCCGCTCCCTCGATCCGGGCCCCGCTCCTCGCTCGGTCGTCCTCCCACATCGCCATCACAGCGCACGCCCATGGGTGTCCGAAGCAGTAAGCTCTCCTCGGAGCAAATCAACGAGATCCAGCCCTCCACCAAATTCACGGTCGAGGAATTAACCGATTGGCACCGTAGCTTCCTCAATGGTCCGCCTTGTCACCGGCCGCGATGTGCTGAGCCATCACGTCTCTTCCAGTGACTGACACACGCACACGCACACGCCCACACACACACACACACGCACACACACACACACGCACACACACACACACGCACACACACACACACACGCACACACACACACACGCACACACACTCACACACACCCAACCCCCCCCCCCCCCCCCACACACACACACGCACGTCTCCATCGACAAAACACAGACCACCCCAGTGGCTTCCTCAAGGAGAGCCACTTCATCGTCATGTATTCGCAATTCTTCTCGCCGGCCGGGTCCAGTGGGGCCACCAACCCCGGGACCGGGTCCACATCTCGGCGCAGTCGCCTCCAGGCGGCTGCGCAGGGCCGCACCAACCCCGGGGTGCGGCTGTTCGCGGCCCGGGTGTTCGCCTCCTTCGATCGCGAGGGTCGCGGCATCGTCACCTTCAAGGACTTGATCCATGGGTTTTCCATCGCCACACGCGGCACCATCGAGGTACATGACCGCCAGGGGCCCGGCCCACCACGGGTCCTGCCCCGGCCGCCCAGGCAGCCCAGGGTCTGCCCATGCCCGGACGCCTGTCCAACCTCGCGCCTGACCTCCGTCCCCTGTTCCGCGCCTGCAACCGCCTGGCCCATGCTTTCCTGGCCAGGAAAAACTCGAGTGGGCCTTTCGGATATACGACGTCGATCGGGACCAGATGATCGGTCGCGAGGAGATGCTGCAGGTCGTCACAGCCATCTACCAGATGGCTGGCTACTCGCCGGGGTACAGCTCGGCCGGCCCGTCGGTCGGGTCCTTCGGCAGCAGTGGCGGCGGAGCCGAGACCGACGAGCTGAGCTTCGACGAGGACACCACCTCCTTCGGCGGCGCCGTCGGCCCCGGCGGGGGCCCGGCCACCGGAGCCGGCAGCGGCATGACGGGAGAGGGCAGCCTCGGCGAGCCGAGCACCTACACCAGACCCATCAGCATCATGGACCAGCTGGCCTTCCATGAGAATACCCCGGACAAGCGGGTGGACCAAATCTTCGAGCGTTTTGACCTGGTGCGCTACCTGATCCCGGCCTGGCCGGGCGGGCTCCGCCCCTGACGGCAGGGGAAGAGCGAAAAGACCGCCCACTGAGAGGAGGCCACCGTGCGCTAACAAGGGCACACGCACGCACACACACGCACTGCGTTTCAATGCACGCAATGCCGGCGTCCATCGCGGATGGCGCGCGAAAAAAAGGATCGCGACGGGATGCTCAGTCTGGAGGAGTTCATTAACGCAGGCAAGTGCGATCCCGGAACTGCGGCCAGCCTTTTCATCTACGACGGGCTGGTTTAGGGGATGGCCCCACTTCGCGGCCGTGCGCAGGATCGCATGCCGCCCGAGGAGGCGAGTGCGCGGGCACATTTGCGTGCAGACCCACGTCCATGCATTCATATCCATATCCATATCCATATCCATGTCCATATTTATATATATATACATATACACGCATGTGCATGCGCATGCGCATGCATGCTCGCGCCTGGCCGCACAGAATAAAATACACACTCAAATGCGAAAGCCGATCCACGGGTGCACGCGTGCGCTTGCCCGCATGTGCGCATATGTCACTTGCTACCGGGAGGACAAGAGAGAGAGAGAGAGGAGGAGGAGGAGGAGGAGGGGAGAACAGAGGGAAGGATGAGGCAAGGGGCCGGCCAGCTCCATGGCCATTGCGCTCAATCGTCCTCGTCATCGGAGTAGTCGCTGTCGGAGTTGATCCCCCGGCGGGCGGAGCGCCGTGCCCCACCGAGCGACCCGGCGCCCGAAGTACGCTTGGCAAATGCATCGGCGTAGGCACCGTCGCGCACCTTGGCCGCGCGGCTGGCCAGGTTCACGGCGGCGGTCAGAGACTCGCCCGGCCGGCCGATGACACCGGCCTGCCGGAGCCGCGCCTCCAGCTGCTCGGTCGTGAAGTGGTCCGTGTTGCCAAGGTCCTCGAAGCCAAGTAGCCTTTCAGCCAGCAAGCAGGAGTCAGCAGCGCGCGTGGCCCAGCGCAAGAACAAAGAACAGGGGGGGAGGGCGCGGGAAAAGTGTAGAATCGAGAACCTCAGCGCATATGAACGTGTGCGCGAGCGTGTGTGTGTGTGTGTGTGTGCGTACCGGCCGTTGGTGACGCCGTTGATGAAGAAAATCACACAGGGAAGGACCTGAATACGGAGCTTCTCCACCATGAACGGGAGCTTGGTCACATCTCCCCGGGCGAACTTGGTGTCGGTGTACTTCTTGGCCACCTTCTACAGGGCGACCGCGGGTGAGCATGCGCAAGTGCATGCGCGTTTGTGTGTGCGTGTGTGAGGGAGACAGAGACAGAGACAGAGAGGAAGAGGGAGAGAGGGAGGGAGGGAGGAAGGGCGAGAAGATGGGCCATTTCACATGGACAGAAGCGCCAGGAGCGAAGGGGCACAGGTGGGGCAGCTGGAAACACGAGCACGAGGAGGAAGGCCACCCGGCACGCACTTCCAGATGCCGGTGCATGATGTCACACCGGGCGAAGTCCGACCGGTAGAAGTGAATCACCACGAAGGGCAGCTTGGTGGTCATATCGAGGACCTGCTTGTCCTCGGTCACCTCCGTGTACTTGCCGTACTGCAGGTCCTGCATCATCTGGGCGCGCTCGGCCCTTCACCAGCACAAGGAGCCCAGGCGGGCGAGCGGGAGCAAAGGTCCGTCAGAAAGGGGACCCACGCGCGGGAGACAACAAACAATTCCCCCCCCCCCCCCCGAGGGGGTCCTACGCACTGGAGCTTCAGTTCCAGCAGGCGCTTCTCGCGGAAGGCATGGCCAATGTTGGTGTCGCCCTCAAGCATGGAGAGCAGATCGTCCTCCAGCTCGTCGATGTTGGTGTCAAGTGGGCTGAGCCATCGGGGTGAGTTCCGGGCAAGAGGGCCGAAGAGCCCGGGCGACCGCGCGCAATCACAGGGACAGCTGAGGGAGGGGGAGAAAAAGGGCGGGAGGGACACCCCTCCGATCGATGCGGCACGCACAAGTCCATGGTGTATCTTTGGCAGTGGCGGTAGTTGTGGGGATGGTGATGGCAGCAGCAGCAGCAGCAGCAGCAGCAACAACAACAACAACGACGGCGGCGGCGGCAGCAACAACGGGGGGGTGTTGCGGGGCGGGGTAAATGAAAAAAAAGAAAGAAGAGGCGCAGGCGAAGGGAGGAGGGCGTGGAGGGCTGATATAGATCGCCCGGCGCAAACCGGCGGCACGCACCCAGGCGCCCGATGACCCGCCATCGCGGGCGCGGCCGGCCCATCCGTCGGCATCTCATGTCAACGCGCTTCCCCATCGCCGCGTGACGCTCACGGGACCGGCCCGTCCGAAGTGATGTTTACTCCCGCCGTTGGGGGGTGCTCTGGCTGCGCGCCCGTTTGCCGGCGCTCGGGGCTGTCCCCGTTCCCGGCCGCGGGCCTTCACGCTCTGTCGCCGCATTTCGCTGGGGGGAACATGTTGACCCGCGTCCACGTTGCGCGTCCTCCTGCCTCCTCTTCGCCTTGAGGCGTCAGGTGGGCGGGGAGGCGAGAGGGGGGGGGGGGGGGGGCGGATGCCTGGGGCCAGTGGGGGGAGGGAAATCTCCCCCTACCTCATGGGCCCCGGTCCGGCAGGGCAACTGCTCGGTGTCCGGAAGCCGGCGCCTCGGGCGATCTGGGCATGTTTATAGGCACCCGAGGCTGTGCCTCACCGTGAGGAGGCCCGGCCCGCCATCCTCCCCCTCCCCTCCGAAGAATCCTGTGCCCTGCCAGCGGTTCCTCCCACACACACACACACACTCCTCCGGTCCTTCCATCCAAGCGCCGAGAAAAAGGGCGGGAGGGACACCCCTCCGATCGATGCGGCACGCACAAGTCCATGGTGTATCTTTGGCAGTGGCGGTAGTTGTGGGGATGGTGACAGCAGCAGCAGCAGCAGCAGCAGCAGCAGCAG